TGCGGCCGAAGTCACGGTCCGTGGCGGTGGGCAGCAGGTAGAGAGTGCCCACCGGCCGGTTCTCCTCCACGGTGAGCGTGAGCACGGGTGACGGGAAGGTGGGCGTGTTGTCGTTGATGTCGAGCACGATGACCCGGCCCTCGAACAGGTCCACCCAGCTCTGCGAGGGCCCGATCACCGACACCTCGAAGTCCAGAAAGCACTCGTTCTCGTCGAAGATCATCTGACACTGGGGCAGCTTCTCGCGGTCGATGCGCCGCTCGCTGGTGCTCAGCTCGCCGGTGAGGTTGTCGATCTTCAGGTACTCCGAGCCCGACTCGAGGCTGAAAGTCACCTCACCCGAGCCGGTCACGATGCCCAGGTCCGAGGCGACGTTGCCGATGCGGACGTCCGCCGGGCCCTCCTCGGCCAGTCGATACCGGAGGAGTTGCTTGGCGGCCGCCAGGCTGAGCGAGAGCGGCAAGAGGAGGCAGCAGCCCAGGCACCAGCCGCGCGCCCATCCCGCGGTCCGCATCCTCAGCATCTTCTCCTGCTGCTGCTGCTACTGCTCGTTCTAGTCACAGCCCCCTCGGCGCCCCCCTCCTCCGGGGCCGGCCGCCGGCCCTCCTCCCAGTCCTCTTCTCTCTCCGGGAAAGGAGGAAGGGAGAGGAGGGAGGGGGCGAGAAGAGCAGCGTGAGGAGTCGGCCAGGGGGACCAGCGAGGTGTCCTTCTTTTTCTTTTTTCTTTTCCTTCTGCTTCTTCCGAAAGTTATTGTTTCATAATTCATGCAATGGGTGCTAATCGCCCGCTCGCCGGCCGCCGTTCAGTCGCAGTACTCACAGTTCACGGGACACTGCGCGCCGCGGGCTCGGCGCCCCCCCAGAGTCATCCCCGCAGCGGGCGGAGAATCCCGGGCTCCCGTCCCCGCTCTGTCGGATGGGGCCGGAACCGCTCCGGCGGGCGGGCGGTGGAGCCGGGAAGCGGCGGGGAACACGCCTGCAGCTTCCCCCGCCTGCCAACCCCGTTGGTCTTTGCTGCTACTCGAGTTGAGTCCAATTCACGTTCCAGCCACACACTCCAGACCCAGCTTCTGCTCCGGCTGCCCAGGCAAACGTGAGTTGCTTCCTGCACGAGGCGCTGGGGCCAGCAACAAGCCAGTCTGAACTCTGACTCTGCTCTGGCAGCGGGGGAGCCAGTCAACAGATCGAGAATGAAAAAGCCCTGGCAGGTCGCTTCGGGCACCGTGCAGTGGAGACCACTCGCGTCACACGGCGGTCCGCGTCCGGGTCCCCCCCGCGCGCCGAAGAGCAGCCCGAGCCATCTTCAGAGACACCCAGAGAGTCAGTCCCTTTTCACCCCCAAGAGCTCGGGTTTCTCTTTTTTTCTTAACAACTCTGCGCAAGGTCATTAGTCACGAAGCCGCCGCCTGAAACCGCAGCAGCCGTTCGCCCGCGGGGGCGAAGGCTGAACCGTGCGCACCGCGCGGTGCCCAAGTTTGGGTTCGCAGCCGCAGAGTCCGTGCCTTCCCTCACCTGCATTCGGCCCGCATGTCGGAGCACTGGGATCTGCAGCGCTGTGCGCGATTCAGGGAGGAGATTGCAGCCTCTCTCTCTCCCCGCTCTCTCTCGATCCCTCCCCTCCCTCCCTCTCTCTCCTCCCTCCTCCTCCTCTCTCCTCCCTCCTCTCCTTTCCCCTTTCCCCTTCTCCCACTCTCTCTACTGCACGCTCCCTCGCCTTCCTCCCAGTCCCAATGCTGGCAACTCGAGCTGAACTTGATCCCTTTGCAGTTCAAAGGTGAGCAAACCAAGCTCGGTGCTCAGGCGACGTTGGCCTGGCGAGAGCCCCCGGCCGGGCTCCCCCAGTGGCAATTAACAAAGATGCCCAATTCTGTCCGGATTTCCGAAGAAAAGCCAAAGGCACTGGGGAGGGGATTGGGGGGGGGGGGGGGGGGTGGAGTCAGAGACAGCTGCCAAGTAGCTTAAAAAAAAAAAAATATCCAGTTTGCCAAGGGGAGAAAAAGTGCCAGTCGGTTGTTTCCTCGGAAGTGCCCTGGCACGGCGGGTGAATTCCGCAGTTGTCTCGTACCCTTTCGCGTCTGGGAGAGTCTGGTGCGGGCGCGCTCGCTGCCCCTAGGGCTGCCAAGGCTCAAAGACACTGAATGGCAAGTAGGAAGCTCCCGCTCGCTAGCCGAGAGCCGAAACCCGCAAGTTTGCCCAAAGTGGTGGTTGGTGCTGGGAGCTCGCTTGCTCGCTTGCGGCTCAAGCTTGTCCCTGACGCGACTGCCGCTGCGGCGGCGGCGGCGGCAGCGGCGGCGGTGGCGGAGGTGGCAGCCGAGCCGCCGAAACTACACGTTCGCAGAGAGGGAGGGTGAAGAGCTGAAGGGAGGAAGGCAGGAGGGAGTACTAACCAGCCACCCGGCTCCGGAAAGCCCAGCTTCAGCGCCGGGGGCCACTCCTTACGTGCACAATCCCAGTCAGTCCCGTCCCCTTTAAGCCAAAGCCTCTCCCCCTCTTCCCAACGAGCGCAGCCACTGTCTTCTCGGGGGACTCGCTTTCCCTCCCCGGGGCTGGTAAATTTCCTCCTCTCTCTGACTAATGCCGTGTGCGAGTGTGAGAGCGCTGGAGCGGGTGTCAGGAAAGGTTTCTTCTTCTCCCCCTTCTCAGACGTTGTTCCCCACCCCCTCAAGTGTCTCCGTTTCGCGATTTCGCATCTTGGTTTGGGCATTGGCTTCACAGTGGCTTGGGGGATCCCGCGTGCGCGCCCAGGGAGCCACGTTGGTGTTCTGAGAAACCATGATGGGCTGCAGTGGTTAAGCGAGAACATCAAACTCCAGAGAGAGCTAGAGAGGGATCCTTTTTTGGGAGGGCAGACTTCGGAGGGCTGGCGTTGGGGGGGTGGGGTGGGGTGGTGCCTGTCTTTGTTTAAATGCTTGGCATTCCTGTCGTCGTGCTTGCTTACGGGGGTAGACCGTGTGTGTGCGCGCGCCTGGGGAATAAACACATGTTGGAAGCCTCAATGTTATTTTCTGAGCTGAAACCTGCAGCCTTTAGTAACTGGTAAAGTGTAGCGTCACCTATCTGGATAAAAGGGAAATAAACTTTAATGGCAACTTTGTGTACCGAAGTGTCCCTAGTTCCGTTTCTCTCCTTCTTTTGACTTTGTGCCACTTGATCGTACATGGTATTCCCCCACGCGAGGCTTCCCCAGTTTTCAATCACAGCCACCGCAGCCTGCCTCATCAGATCCTCAGCTCCGGTTGTGTTTTAAAAACTGTAGCCATTCGCTCTTCATTTATTTCAGGGGCTAAGGGGGGGGGGCAGGATTAAGGGGGTTCAGGCTGGCAGGAGATGTTTGGAGAGAATCTTATCTCAAAAGGGAAAAGAAGCTGCTGGTGGGATTTGGTTGGTCCTCAGCTAGTCTGCCCAATCTATAGGCATCGAAGGGCCTCCCCTTACAGGAAAATTTAAGACGAAAAGAAGAAAACAGAAAGAAATCCTTCCAGAGTGGGTACTCAGCCTTTACGAGACCCGTGTGAGGAGGCAAGATGATTTAAACAAGACAAACACCAATAAAGTCTACGAGCAGATGTAGCGCGCCGTTGTTTGGGCGGGCGCAGACAGCAGGAATGGGGGGAGAGGCGGCAGAGATCTCCAAGGTCTCCCTGTGCGAGACCGTGGAGGCGCGGAGGATGAAAGTGCCAGAGAGCTGGCGAGTATTTTCCAGTCTGCTAAAGCATTAGCACTCAGGGTGTAGTGGCTTCTCCTCCGGGGCCAGGCCGGGAACCCGGCCACCCCCACATTCCCCCAGCCCGCCGCCTCCCGAGCCACTCCGCTCTATATCTGCAGCATCAGCGAGAAAAACCCCGCGCGCAGACTCAGTGTGCACCGCCGCAGTCTGGCGCCGGGGGGGGGGGGGGGGGGGCGTCGCAACGTTTCCGAGGCCCGCTAAGTGGCTGTAATGCTAAATCCCCTCATATGTGGAAAACTCTGGTTTATCAGAATTCTTGTCTCCCACGACTCCCGGTCGCTTTTTTCCTAGGGTCCTAGGCGAAACAGGGAAGCTTGTTCTCTTCCGCGGCCTTGCACCGGTGCATTCCGATGCGCGGCAATATGGTGCAGTGCACGCACTCCCCTAACCGCCTTACTAAGATTTTGCAAACTTCAGGCAGCCGCGTGGGCAGAGACGTTGTACACTCCCGCTTCCCTCGCCAGACCATAAACTTGAACAAGCCCGTGAGCATCTTGAAACATTCGCCCACCGCTCCGGCGCGCAATCTCCAGGCGCACACTAGTGAGGGGCGAAGGAGTGGGAGGCTTTTCCCCAGAGCGCTGCATTTTTTTTTCCCCAATGATGGTGGGGAGGAGGGGTGTGCAGCGCGTCCTTCACAGTGGAGTGGTTTTCTCATTGCGAGCTGGAGGTAGTCTCCAGTCCGCCCTCCCTACGCATCCCTACCAACTCCACCGCCGAGCCAAGCCAGCGTGGGAAATGGGTCCGACGTGTGCGGCATGGAGAACAGCGCGCCAGACTGCCCTGGCCACGAAGCCTCCTGGCTTTCCTCCCTCCCTCATCGTTCCCCGCCTCCGACCTTCCAGCCTGAGCGGCCGAGGAGCGGCTGCTTTGCCCCGCGGCGCGGTTCTGGGGAAAGGGAACCGAATGGGCGGGGCGCGGGTGTGGGCGAGGTGAGAGGAGCCCTCGGGGCGCCCTTGCCGCGGTCGGAGCTCCCAATCCTCTTCCGCCCCCTGTCTGGGGACTGACACTCCAACTACAGCCTCCCGCCGGCGCGGAGGATGAATGGAGGCGAGAAGCCGTTTCCCCCACCCCCGCCCCATTTCCGCAGTCTTAGAGCCAGTGTCACAAGTGCTCAGCAGTTTCATTAAATGGAACTGGGGGACTTAATCCCCCCCGGTACCAGACCTCACCACGGGAATATGATATCCGGATTCGCTCCCACCCACAAACCCCGCCCGGCTTTTCAGACTCGAGGCTGCATTTATCTTCTCAACCTGAGAGGAAAGGGTTCAGAAGGAAATGGGATCGAAAGTGTAACCGGCTGCAATAAATTAAAGAGCCCGTTGCTGCCGTGCTGCTGTTGCTGCTGCTTTGGCGGCCAGAACTGAAGAGAGAAAACGAGATCAGTTTCCCAAAGCCTGAGTTGCTCAGAGGGCGAGGACGTCATCGCTTGCAGGAGGCAAATTATTTGAGAGCATGTTGAAATGTTGGGGATTTGTGGTTCGTCTCGTTTTATTTTTAAAGGCATTTTTTTTAAATGACCACTTGAAACCAAGATATGAAAAAAAAAATGAAATTCACTAAAATAGAAATGTCCCGTTTTCATAGACATTTAATCAAAGCTTGGCCAACGATTGCTTTTTTTCTATGCCAAATATCCTACCCTATGCTTATCATATTCGGTAGTTTTGTTGTTATTGTTGTTTTAAATTTACCTGCTAACCCTGCCATCTTAAAGCTGCGTTGCCGTTAAGAAATTTCAGTGACTGAGCTGAAAAATAGCATTCAGGGTCCGTGATGTAGTTTCAGCCTCAAAAAGACAGGAAGGGAAGTCACAATGACAACAAAAGTTTATGGGTAACAATACAAAGAAGTAGGTGCCGAAGATATGATCTCAGGGGGGCTTTCATTTATTATAGACGCTGTATTCACAATAGTACAAGAAAAAGGTTAAATACAGTAAACATGATAGCCAGTTCTGGAAAGAAATATAAAGCAGTTTGACGGGAAGGGAGAAAGTGACTCAAGAACTCCACCAAGGGACAAACAGAGGAAATGACACTCCTACATCTCCAAATCCATTGACCTTTTAGTCTTTTTACAAAGGGTCCTCTATATCCACTTACATGTGCATATACAGGTTTTTGAGGCCTTTATGATCAATCCTTTCTCCAACTACTTTTGATAAATCTGAAACTGCAGCTTTCCTTTTCCAAGTAATTATTATGAATTATTGTTCTTTAAACATATATCATTTTGATATCATTTCGAACGGTGAATATAACTACATAACTATTGTCTTACAGCAAGTATGATTCTGATTCTTGGGACTGGGAGAAACTTTGGGCAGATTGTGTATCCTTAAACCCATGCTTGTAGTATGAAAATGAGTAGCAGACTGAAAAAGCTAAATTATTCATTGCAATAACAGACTTTTTGATGGACATTAAAACTCAGCAGTAAATAAGGAAACCACAGATTTCCTTTTAAGCAGGTAATAACTGCTTGCCTCAGTGGTTATTTAACTGGTCTCAGGCCAAGAAATAGAGTCAGTTTTGCTGTTTAAATCATGAAGTCATGTTATGAAAAGCTATGTACAATGTATTGATAAAAAAACAACACAAGAGGGGCGCCTGGGTGGCTCAGTCGGTTGAGCATCCGACTTCAGCTCAGGTCACGATCTCACAGTCCATGAGTTGGAGCCCCGCGTCGGGCTCTGGGCTGATGGCTCAGAGCCTGGAGCCTGCTTCTGATTCTGTGTCTCCCTCTCTCTCTGTCCCTCCCCCGTTCATGCTCTGTCTCTCTCTGTCTCAAAATTAAATAAAAACGTTAAAAAAAAAAACAACACAAGATAAGAAGTAAACTTACTTGATTTATACTTATCTATTGGATAACTATAACACATTTCTACAAGGCCAGTATAAAAATTCAGTTCACTGAGAAAAAGAAACTGAAAAAAGTAATTTTAAGTGTCCAAGTATTAATTCATAAGCTATATGATTTGCCTATTAAATAGAATGTTTTAGTTTGTTTGTTTGTTTGTTTGTTTATTTATTTATTTATTTTTTTATTTATTTATTTATTTATTTTGAGAGAGAGAGAGAAAGCGCAAGCAAGGGAGGGTCAGAGGGAGAGGGAAAGAGAATCTCAAGCAGGCTGTCAGCACAGAGCCCCACGTGGGGCTCGATCCCACCCACCTGGAGATGATTATCTAAGCCAAAATCAAGAGTCCATGGCTTAACCAACTGAACCACCCGGGCGCCCCTAGAATGTTTTCATTTTTAAAATGCCATTTAACAGAAATGATTTTCACTTTTCAAGCACAGATTAATGGTTGATTTTCTTCAATTTCTTAAGTTTTACATGCCAAAACATATGCAAGATAGCATAGATGTATAGTGGGTTATATATAAATAAAGATCTAGTCAATTACTATAACTCACAAACACATTGTCTTTTACAAGACAATTTATGACTTTTTCAAAACTTACATTAATTTTTATACCTTCACAAAAATCTAAGCTTGGGAAGAAAATACAGTATATTGCAAACTCTGGGTGAGTTTTTGGGGAAAAAAGAAACGTTGGTAGGTCAGAACAGTACACCCTCTTATTTGTGGTCATCTGAAGCTGTTCTCTGTCACTATCAAAGGTAAAATTGAACATGTCAATGCCCTTTACAGCATAAACTTGAGACATTTGGCATTTCTTTACTGCCGTGGCAGGGTGTGTCAAATGCTGCTGTGAATAATGACCTCTTAGCTAGATAGTATATTGAGGATTTTGGGGGGGTGGGGGGGAATCTCATTATAATGGCTTGTATGAATATAATACTCAAATAAATTACCCTGGTTGTACTAAGAATGATTGAAAATTATGAATTATCTTTATAAGTTTTAGCCCCCGACTATATTCACCCAGGCTAACTAAATCACTTCTCATGTTAATTACCAATAGCAGGTGGTACAAAATGTTGTTTGATCAAATTTAACCCGTTGCATTTAAAATTCAAAATATGGAATGTATCTAGAGTCGGTAATTTAGTAAATTTGACTACTTTAACAGCAATGAATTTTCCAATGATAGATGCTGATCCTTACATGGTAATCACTGGACTTTTCCCCAATATTTCTGACTTCTGGACCTAGAGTAGAATTACGCTCTTGGCCCCCTTGTGGCTAGATGAGGCCACTGACTAAATCTGGGCAATGGTGAATAGAAGTTAAGTTCACTTCCAAAGGGAAAATGGATGCCTGAGATGAAATTATTGTTCAGCTTTATCAAACTGATTATTAACATGAGCTAGGACCAATACCTAGAAACTGTCAATAAACTTCAGACTAACATTGCCTTTAGGTAGTAGTGGTGTTTTCAATGCCGTTTGAGTACTTATTTGATGAATTATTTAAGTAAATCTGATTTAAAAAGTCTTACAAAGTAGACACTATGTTTTTCAACTGTAAACCCTATAAATCAGCAGTTGTGCTATTTAGCCACAAGTGGAAATGTCATTTCATCAGCATGGCAAGTTCTTCATAAAGCTGTATAAATTTGTATCTGGTGATTTTTAACATTAGCAAACATATTTTTGTAGTTTATTTTCTTTGTAGTAACTGGTGTAGAGTTTAACACCTTGAATGGGACTTTTGACACAGTACTGTTGATTTACAGTGAGATGGAAAGATAATAACTATCATGTATTTATGGTTATTATATCCTGTTTCGCTGCATAACTGATTATCATTACTGTCTCCAAAATGACTGGATAAAAACCCACCATAAGGATGTGAATAGAAGCTTTAAATTCAGTTAACGTATGTATAAAATATTAAATGTTTTGATGCATTATTAAGCTAACAGCCATGATTACTAACCAACAGTATATGTCATCAATAGTATATATCTGAAGTGGGCACTGAAAGGTTTACTAGATCATTCTGTTTCTGAGTGTTTTCTTGTTTCTCTCTCCAGGTGTTAGCTGCAGCCTGATCATGTCTGCCTATTTGGAGAGAAGAGATAGTACCTACCCCTGCCTTTTTGGTGACATCTGATATGAAACTTGCTTTTGCGACCAACAAAGGGACTCTTTGCTTCTAGCTTCCTCGTCAAACAGATTTGCTTAAAACATAGGAGAGAGGGTGAGCGAAAAACATGGTAAACTTGAAAAGGTATGACTGAAACTAAGGCAGTGCCCCAGTTTGTTTTATGTTGTCCTATAAAGTAGGACTTTCCAAAGGTCTGTAAGCCAGTATCACCTTCAACTACCAAAAGTTACTCTCTTTAGGTGTCCTGGTCAGTGATCTTCAGTTTCTGAATTACTTTCATGGGCAGATTTAATGTGATGCTAATGAAGCTTAAGCTTTCAGGGTCTCTCGCTTGACGTTGGGGGGTGAGGGGAAAGCAGCAATGTGTTTGCATAATCACATGGCTTTGAAATTTGCAACAGTAAGAATTTTAAGGGCAAAAGGTTAAGAGCACTGCTCCCCTCCACTCCAATTTCCTCCATCACACGTTTTGTTTCAAGTGTTACAGAGTCCAGGGCATGTTGGGGATCTAGCTAAGGGAAGATTCAGGTGGGGATACACACTAGTTGCGGGAAAGTTAAGTTGGGGATACGTTTAATTTGGGTGTGTTCAGATGTACTTTTGTGGATTCAGTCTCTCTGATTCGTAGTGAAGTTATTGCTGACAACCAAGGCTTCCAGAAATTTGCTCACCATCCACTGTATTGGCACAAAGGTGTAGTGCCCGAGGCTCTCGGGTGATGGACTATCCCACAGCGCGGGATGCAGGAAGCCTCCGCGTGGTGGACCGGAATCCAGCCTCCAGTGTGTGGAACAGGAAGCAAGTCTGTAGAAAGTTCTGCCAATTGCAGTTATCCCTGCTTTTCGAAAGTTCCAGCCAGTCGCACCACTAGGCTTTTATGAAAAACCTACCTTAGCACTCGTTTTCGATAACCGAAAGAAATCCGAAGAGGATCTTTGCCTTGACAAAAGAAAGCGAAAAGAGAAAATAGAGTTCGGTGTTTGTTTTGCAGCAAGCTGTTGTAGAGGCCGCGTGTGAGAGTGGCCCTGCCATACTCCTTCCCCGGGAACTACATTCAGCACCTCAGCATGAGGCTGCCACAGCTTTGAACGGTGTCGGTGAGCATCTGCGCTTTATCTCAATTTATTTTGTGCACCCATTAGCAGGATAGGTCCTAAAGTATCAGAAAAACCCAAGGGAGTTTATTTTTTGAGGCTAGGACCGCTCAAAAACATTTCCATATAAATTAATGGTAATTCTTTCTTTGCTTTCTGCCATTCCAGCTTGGGAAAAATTTCATAGGATCACGCTGCTCCCAGACAGCAGGGGTAGCTTGTGTTAGTCATGTAAACTTCTGCGTGCAGAATATGCTTTTCACTCCCGTCTCATCAGAACAAAAATACTCTCTATCAGGAATTAGTCGATAAACCAGGGGCCACACGTGAAAACACAGTATTCTTCGGAGTTGTGTGTGTACAATTTCTGAACAGATTGTGTAAATACAGATTTTATCAGCATACCTGTGTTTGAGGGGACACATACATAGTATCGCAGAGCCCTGTGTGTGTGTGTGTGTGTCTGTGTGTGTAGTTGGGTGACTTTTGTAACCCTGTGTATTGGTGTTAGCACATTTAACACATCTTTTTTCTGACAGTCTGGCACTTCGACATAAAGTGACACCCTGTATCCACCAATACAGTAAAGATATCAAAAAAAAAAAAAAAAAAAAAAAAAAAAA